CAAGTGCCGGTTGGATTTGGTTTATTACTGTTGTAATAATTTTATAAATGTTTTAATACATTAAGAACCGGGATTTTTTAATTTATCGAGGGCAAAGTCGAACCGCGCGGAATTAATTAGTTTTTGATTAATTTTTCTTCAGGGGTTGAACGTTATTTTTGCACCCATGCGGGTATTTGGTACATAGTTGATGTCCTACTGTAGTATTTTCACAATTGATTATTATAACTTTTTAGTTGTTAAAAAAATTCTTGAGATTCAATTTTGAATGCCTCTTATAATGCCTATATAAACCTCTTATATACAATTATACTTGTTTCTTCTATTTATAATATATTCATTTTTAAAAATTAAATGGAAGAAAATTATTTACAATTTAGTCAACAAAAAAAAAATAATTACAATAAATCATCAAGGTAAAACCACATATGGCTACACCATAGTTATCCTAAGAACATCTACATGATAAATTGTATATTGTGTAAGATCATGATTATCTGAAACTATCGGTTATGTATTTTTAAAAAAGTAAATCGTTTACTTTTGTATTATTTTATTAAAAATAAGTTGATGATGTTATTTTAATTTGTTTATTTATGTGAATGTTATGTAATTCGTTAAATTTGACTTTATAAAAAGTAGAATAATATTAGTATTAAAATATTGAATAAACGTATTACTATGATATACAATAATACGACATAACCATAACCATAACCTTGACCGGTAATTCTATTCTTACATTTATTATAACATTTTTGTAAATTACACAATTTTTTGATATACTCATAATAACCACGTCTCCATGTACATGCATAGTATCAAGTAACCGGATTTTTGTGAAAGTAAAATTATACTGTGATGATTACACAGTCAACAGGGAATCCAGTTATTTCGATGAATAACCGGAAAAACTTTAAGTAGGTGACGATTGTGTGAGGCTTACCATCATCACGAAATCGAGAGTAACGTTGCTAACGATAATTCAGTAAAGCCTATTGCCCTAAACGACCTTGACCAACGGACAATAATTCGTGATGTCAAGCTTCCAAACATATTAAATGATGTGTAAGTGTTTTGTGTAATGTATCGTTTTTTATTTGCTAATTCAAATAGTAAAATATGATTAATGAGCAAAAAATAATTCTAACTAATATTCTGACTCTTGCATGAAGTTTGTTTTTTTATTGTCATACAAATTCGTGTAGTTGTGGTACAGAGGACATCCACTGTTTTAATATCCTCCCCGATCTTGACCTAATTCTACCTCGACCTCTTAATTATATAGTTTTTTGTGCTGACCTTTATACCTACGTTTGACGCACACAACTTAAATCGTGGATGTCATTTTATACCTATTAGTGCAAATTATAAAATTACTACGGAAATGTTCTACCAAACGATTACGATAAATTATTTCATTGAAATTAAATTGGAAGATAATAGTACAATGTTTTCATCAGTTGTTATTAATTTTTTAAATTAAAAAAAAATGTTGACTTCTTTTTAAAGCTAAATTAGTCTATAGAATGATTAGGTAACACTGTATATCTTATAAAAATCAACTCTCAAAAAGCTTTAGTACTGTATATACTTAGCATCAGACAATGGAGTACATCCTAGTGTAGGAGCATAGCGAAGTTATCTTTTTTAAGGGTAATACTAAATTTGACTCGCTAACATTTTAACAATCTATTTGGCTAATTACATAATATCAAAAAAAAAAAAATACTTATGACTGTCATTGAAGTAACCTTAGGAGTATACTCTCTTTGCTCCTTAAACTCCCCTTAAGTTACGCACCTGGAGAAGGGTCAGATAGACGCAGTTTAAGCTCTCAGTATTTTTATAATAGAATATACTATATTATTTTGAAATAGCTGTAAAAAACGGTATTTGTAACATTTACACCGTTTTTTATAATTAAAAAACAATATTCTAAATTAAATGTCGGGAATGAAAAATTACAATAAAAGAAATTAATATTTGTCATATAATGAATATTTTCCTATAGTGTAATAAAGCAAATTATGCAAGATTATATTTATATTTTAAAATCATAATAATTTTCTCTTCCTTAATGTATAAAAGATTGTATTTTAAATTTCCTATAATCCCTCATCTTTCTATATATCTTTCTTATCGCTATAAATGAATAAAATTCATTAACATGAAACAAAACTGAACGAATCCAGAAAGAATAATTTTATAGTTTTAAAATTATTTAGCTTTTGATTATTTTTTTTACAAATTTTCCAATTTTAAGTAGATATTTATAGCAATCGTATTATAAATACTTTTCATTTAAACTAAATAAAGATTTTCTTGCCTACTGTCTTTTCATTGAATATTTAATGTTTTGTGTACAAGGTCTTCTGTAATGATCATTGACGTCAGACTATTTTTACACGACTTCTACGAAGTTATAGTTATTTAAATACTTACTAACACCCATTAAGCTTAATGGTAAGGTACTTGACGTTCTTACTAACCTATGCAATTTATTTGAAACTACAATATGGTAGAATACATAGTTAATAATAAATAGTGTTACATTCGTAAAATATCGTAAATTTGTTATATTTAAAATGTGCAAAAATAATTATTTGACCATAATTATGACAATTATTTGGTGTAACTTTAACTAAATAATACTTTAGTGCTGAATAAAGTTTGTCATATAACGAAAATATAATTAAGGAAGACAAGATGGCCTCCATACAACAAGATTTAAGGGTAACGATTTGATTATTGAAACCTAGTATAACACAAACTGCTTTAGATCTAACTGACACGACATTTATCATCTTGATACAATTTTATTAAAAAATTTTTTATGATAATGTTGCTTTTTTAGACTACGTTTTAAGTATATCTTTTAATATTTATTACTAATAAGAAAAAAAGATTAGGTTAAGTATTTATTGAGTTAAAAATATTAAAATACTTGTTGGTTAAATTGTTAGTATGTTTGTAACTCTTGAATACTTGTTCTAAAATTGTTATTAATCCATCAATTTTTTTTGCAAGGAAAAGTCTAAAAATAATTATTTTGAATTTAAAAAATAAAAATAAATTATTTTTATTAGTGATACATATTAACAAAATATGCTTTTAATATAATTTAATAAAGCAATAATTATTTAAAAAAAAATTCAACTAAATGATAATTGAAAAAAAGTCATAAGCGTTGTCAGTTATATCTGAAACATGGTGTGTATACACATTATAGCATAATGTACAATCGACTTAAACTTAAATGACTTAACTTTCTATGATTAGGAATCTTATTTAAAATTTGAACCTGGTAATGTTTTAATTTGGGTTTATATATGACTTCAATTAGACTGTGACTTACTATTACGCAATAGTCCAGGTGGGACATAACATTGTTTTTAATACATAATTGTGGTTCCATGAAAATTGGAATGTGGTATTAAACAGAACAGTAAGTAACAATCTCTTGCATAAAAATGTAGTGTATTCAATAGTAGTATTGCTTATAAATAATGTCTCATTTTATGATAATTGACGAAACGGAGGTAGTTAGTATTACTTAATACGAATTTTAATGTGTACCTTGATATTTAATGGTCGATTGTCGACGAACTATTGAAAAATAAGCACAAAAATTTAATAAAGAAATAATGTACACATTTGAAACGTAGTAATTTATCAGTTAAACAATATGAAGAGTCTCTTTAACTAACATATTTATACTAAGGAACAAGGAGTGAGGATGAGTAATGTCTAATGATAATTATTGTCAAACACGCTCCTCACCTCCAGTTATTAATATTTTAAATAATAATAACTACCGAAATAATGGGTTAAAAATTGTTATCGACTAGTCATTTTTTTTAATTATATAATTTACTATTTTATAAGTTAGTTAAATATGCTTGATATTGCTTAAAAAAATAAATTATCATAACAATTAAAGATTATGTATATAGGTGTTTAAAAAAAAAACACCGGGAAGTATTGTTAGTAGGATACTAAATCTTGATTTTGTATTCCTTTTTACTTTTTTAATGTGATGTATTCAGTTTAGTTGATTGATAGTTTGCAAGTCCCAAAACCAAAACTTCCCAAAAATTAATGTTCTTTGTAGATGGAATTAATATTTATTAATTAATTTATTCATTTTCTTTATACCTGACCCCTAGAAAGTTTTAAATTTAATTGATTAGCTTCTATTTCTAATATACTTTTATTAACTTGGAAAAATTAATATTATTATTGTTTGACTTATTGAATAATCTGGTAAATTCGGAAACTATGAAACTTACAACATTTTTTAAGAAAAAATAGCTCATCTTTAATTAAACGCAATTTCGTCAGGTCTGCATCAATTTATTCAACTGTTTATTATGATCAAAAAGTCAAAAATATAAAAAAATTATATAAATGTTGTTACGTACATAAAAAGAAACATAGGTGTCAGGTATAAAGAACACTAAAGAAACATTAAAAATTAATAAGTTGATAAATTTTATTTGGCTATACAATTATTGGTGCATAAGTACTGTATTAAAACCATAAGACTAATTAAAAACGTTAATAATTACAAAGAACTTAATATAAGGGAGGCAAAAAAATAAGAATAATTTAATTAATTGGGATCTAATTCTATCTAAAAATTCATTATTAAACTTGTAAAATGTGACAAAATTTGAAAATCAACTAGTCCCATTAAATACCATTAAATGTGAACGTCATTAGTGACAAAGTCACAAGGGTATATGAGGGAGAATTTTCTGTCAGGGTGTCAGTATATGTTATCGCTGATGATAGTAACATTGTTAAGTATACATAATGATTAGTATTTTTTTTTAGTTAAATATTCTTCAGTTTTAAATTAATTTTTTAAATATATTTTTAATTTAAAATTAACCACAAGTGATCAATTATATTATAATAATTATTGTTTGGTAAAAAAGTTACTTAATAATAAGTTAAAAATAATAATGTGATTTAAATATTAAAAACTATTTTAGCAATGCGTCCAGAAATACCAATGGGACTAACTGAGAGGCGACCTCCTCTAGAGAGTCAACAGTCCACTGTGTGGACTAGAAGACAACAAGCCGTATGTGTACGACGGGCTTACAAAAAATATGGACAAAGTTCAAATCCTCATGTTATCTTAGATGGACTCAATATGACCGTACCAAAAGGTTGCATGTAAGTTATTTATTTTTATTTTTAAGTATCTTTATTTTTAAGGCAAGTTTAATTGAATAAGCTGATAAATCCACCAAAATTCAGTTAGCATTCGTAATCTTTTTAAAATTTTTTTTTTTTTGGTAAATAATACGTTTACTAAAAAAATGTAACTCAAATAAACTTAAAAAAGTGGTTATAAGCATAAAAAAAAAAAATAGTAAAATTAAAACCTTTTCAGCTTGTATAGAAGTTTATAATACTGATAGACATTTTACATGATTTAAATTTATAATTTAATTTAAGATAATTTTTAAAAATTTTAATGTATTTGTTTGTGAGGTTAAATTGAAATCTTTTAAATAGAAAAATTGAAGTTTAAATTTTCTAGTTTTTATTATTATAATTATTATACACTCTTCGATTAAACGACCTTTGCAAAATCATTTTTTCGTCTTAATTAGTATTGCGAAGTACTACCTTCGCTCATTATTTACTTAATAAAATTATGTAGCATTCCTGTATAACTATTCTGTTAGTACGAGCCTTGAACTCGTTGTTCGACTTGTAAACATTCTTTGAAGACAGAGTCTGATCCCCTAAGGCTTTCAGCAACATCCTCAATGTTTCCACAGTCAAAATTCTAGTGATGGGAAATATTGAATAGTAACTATCGAACTATTCAATAGTCATTCAAAAACTATTTGAATAGTAAAAATATTCAATAGTTACACAATATATTCCAATATTTTTAAAACTATTCGATAGTCTATGCTAAAAATAAACTATTCGATTGTATAAAAACAATTCGAATAGTTATTTGATAGTTTAAAATATTTGAAAATGCCTATCACTACAAAATTCCATTTTACCAAGAAAATATAATGCAACTTTTTATTCAATAAACTCAGAATTTCAGAAAAATTGCAGAATTTATAAATCTTACAAAACGAAGCATATCTGAAACACCAACGAATATTTTAACATTAAATTTGGTACTAACAGTACTACCAACTACAGAAAAAAATTCCCGATTGGAAAAACCCTAGAAATTTAAATTAAAAAGTCATCTTTTAATTTGATCAGTTGTATACAGGGTGATTTTTTTATCATAACCCACTCAATTACTTGCAGAATAATAATAATTTAAACATTTTTTTTTTTTATTATTTTTAGTTACACATTATTCTTAAATTTTTAACTATGTAATACTTTTTAAGTTCATCCCTTATGCCTTGGAGGGGAGTCAACTTTGTTTTTTTAAATGGTAACACATATTTTTAATTTAATAAAATGTTTGAGTTTTTAATTTAATAGTAAATGGCATTTGAATTTTTAATATAACTTTATTAGCTTATTAGATATAAACATTTAAAGTTTCAAAATTTTGAGTTAATATACATGTATAATACACATGGGATTGTAAATACAGGTAGCTAATTGGATTTTTATGACATTGCTGTCTCAGTTACGGATTGTTTATTATCAATTATTATTATCAATAGATATACTTTCTGTATTGTCAGTTAGTGTATTTATAAACTCATAACAATGTGCCTTACTACAATTGATAATAACAATGCTGTGTACCTGCTAATATCGATGTTATAAAAAACCAATTAGCTACCTATATTTGTAATCCCTTGTGTATTATACCTGTATATTAATTCAAAAATTTGAAACTTTAAATGATTATATCTAATAAACGAATTAAGTTATATTAAAAATTCAAATGCCATTTACTATTAAATTAAAAACTCAAACATTTTATTAAATTAAAAATATGTGTTACCATTTAAAAAAACAAAGTTGACCCCCCTCCAAGGCATAAGGGATGAACTTAAAAAGTATTACATAGTTAAAAATTTAAGAATAATGTGTAACTAAAAATAATAAAAAAAAAAAATGTTTAAATTATTATTATTCTGCAAGTAATTGAGTGGGTTATGATAAAAAAATCACCCTGTATAATTTAAGAAAGATATCCAGTAATAGTAAATTTTTATCAGTTAAGTTTAGCACTTTTCTCTATACTTATGAAAAAAAATGTAGTAAATTTGTCTATTACTGAATATTTGTGCCAAACAGAGGAAAATTTAAAGGAAGTTAAATTCCATTCATTAATATAACAAATTATTATTATTTATTATTTTTTAGATTAGAATTAGTAAGTATAGTTTTTTGTATATTGTATACATTTTAATTTGTTGTAGATATGGATTATTGGGAGCAAGTGGTTGTGGTAAAACGACATTGTTAAGCTGTATAGTTGGTCGAAGACGATTAAATGCTGGGGAAATATGGGTCCTTGGTGGTAAACCAGGATCTGCAGGAAGCGGTGTTCCTGGGCCTAGAATTGGTTATATGCCACAAGTAAGTATTATTTAGTAGCTTATTAGTTGATTATAAACAACTTTAAACTATATTTTTTAAGGAAATTGCATTGTATGGAGAATTTACTATTCGTGAGACTATGCAATTTTTTGGTATGGTTAACGACATGAAATCAAAAGAGGTTGACGAACAATTGGATTTTTTGCTTAAATTTTTACAACTTCCTAGTGCCAGCCGAGCGGTTAAAAATTTAAGGTGTGTAGATTAATCATAAACTACTAATTTATATTGTTGTTCCCCCTTAATATTTATTTGAAATAAACTAATATTATTGTCATTTTAATTAATTGTATTACATCATATAGTGGTGGTCAACAAAGAAGAGTTTCTTTTGCAGCAGCATTACTACATAGTCCTGAATTACTTATTCTTGATGAACCAACTGTCGGTGTTGATCCTGTTCTTCGTCAAAGGTGTGTTATTTATTTTATAAATGAATTTTTCTCATTTTATAAAAACTTATTTTGTGATTAACTTGTTGGATATTATGAGAAAAAAATTAATTTTATTAAATTCTCCTTAATCAATACTCTAAAATAATTTATAAGTAGTTTATTTTAAAACATTACAAAACAATTTTCCGTAGTAATTTCTATCGCATATTAAATGAAGCTTTATGTATATGATATTTAATTGAATTCTTCATGATCAATCAAAAGTTATAAATTTTTAAATTTACGAACCCTTATGATAATATTTTTTGTGATCATTATAGTGAAAACAAATCCTAATAACCTCATGAAAAAATTTAATCAAATTTTTTATAAAGAGTATGTTACGTTAATGACGTAGAATAAAAAGAAATGTTCGTTTAAAAAAAAAATATTTTTCTTCTAAAAAATGTAGATTTTGTCTCTTGGTACTTTTTTTTATGTCGTCGCCTCATTTTGTGGTATATTTACGGGGGGCAAGTAGGGAAATTGCCTCCAACCACATCTATAAATCATTTTTTTTCCTAATGAATATTTTTATTAAATGAGATAAATGCAAATAATCATTTGTAAACATTTTTTTGTCATATATTCTACAACCCTATTATCTGATTTTCGATCGCAAGTATTTAATTAGTAGATTATAATTCCTATTTTAATATTTTTAAAAGTTCATTGATAACTTTAATCTTATTAAAATGCAAATTTACTTTAATTTCTAATGTTACAATGGATATGATAAATATAATGTTGATTTTATTATATTTTTATAAGTTGTTGTTTAAAACTATAAGTTCTAGTAATTTTTTTTAATTTTCTTAAGGACATAATAAGTTTGTATATTACAGAATAAAGAAAGTTAATATGTTATAATTATTGTTATTTTAATAAAAAATGATAATTTTTACTATTTATTTTTCTATTTTCTTTTGATATTGCTTTTTTAATAATTTTAAATAAAATTAAAGTACATTTACTTTATTTTTAAAGTGTAAAAGTTGAAAAAAATTGTTTTTATATTTGATAGTTCAAATGTTTAGTTTTATTAAAAAATAACAAGATAAAAAAATTATTGAAATCCAAGCCCTAAAATTTTGGATACGCACACCCAAAGAAAAACCTCAATCAATTTTGATAGAGAAATTTTATCAAGGGTTTATGATAATGTTTTATTAATACGAACAAAATAATTATTCTTATAAATAATTATTGTTTAAGACAAGAAAAAAAATTATCATATTGATAAATATATCATAGGTTCAATAATAATGATATATTTATCAAATTGAACAATGAATTTATTATATAGATCGAGATTTTTCTCTGGGTGAGACTGGTCTCATTTATGAGACCATTATTATGTACAAAACTACGTAACAAATATTAATATTGTATATTTTAATAGTATATGGGATCATTTAGTTCATCTGGCTAAAGATTTAGGAACAACTGTGATCATAACTACTCATTACATAGACGAAACGAGACAAGCTCACATGGTAATGAACTATTCATTTGTATAATGATTTTTATTTGTAACTAAATTATTATAGATTTGAGTTTTATTGGATTGGGTGGAAATTCATAAATTTTATTTATATGTTTCTATAATTTGTTCCTACTATAAAGATTATGTTATTAATAAGAAGAGTATACACGTAAAAAAGGCTGAATATAGAAATTTTGGTCTACCGAAATTTGTATTTTTAATATCTAGTCAATTGGTAAAAATTTATCAAATTGTACATTAAAATTATGAATTATAGTTTTTTTTAGTTTTTAACATAATTTTAAAAGTTTTTTCTAGTAAACAAACAATTTTAATTGGCCCTAGATTAAGATTTAACCTAGATTTTCTCTGTAGCTAGTCTTTACAATCCCGGGCTTGCTTGTAGGGGTCATTTTTACATGTCTAATAAAATATTCAAGCTAAACTTGTTCAATTATTATTATAAATTATTAATAAATTATTAATAAATATATATTATTTATATATGGATTTAATATATAAATAAATATGATTTGTTACAATTTGTAAACAAAAAGTATTATTTATAATTTGAAGGGTGTCAGGCTGAAATTTGTTGCTATACTTTTATATCTCAAAATAATTGATAACAATTACCAGTATAACTAACTTGACTAACAAAACTCGATAAAATTCCAATTATAGTAAAATATAAAATTTTTTTAGCTTTTAGCATCAAGTCATTTTAAGTATTTTATTATTTATAAAAAAAATATATTTTATCATATTTTAATATAAAAGCATATATTATAATTTTTGTACTGTTGTTTCTAAACAAAAATAACAAGTATTTGAAATTATATGATATAATGTAACTTATACTTGAAGTTATGAAAAAAATTATAAGAAGAATTTTCTGATTTTTTGTTAAATTAAAAAAAACTGTACAAAACTAAAAAAAATATTAAACATTTAACATTATCTCCTTTTGAAAACAAAGTTCCGTCACATCACTTTATAATAATGATTAGAACATTACTTTATGCCGTAAATAATATTTTTATCGTAACTTTTTTTGAAACAAAAAAGTTAAGTAAGATTAAATTTTTGTACCAATGGTTGGGTTGGATTTTTTTTTCAAATTTGTTATTTTAGTTTAGAACTAATTAGACTTTCTTTATTATTTCAATTCAACCTAGTCTAAAAAATGTAGTATAAAAGGAAATAAATAAGATAATTTTTTGAAATTATAATAATTTAATTTATTTAGATCGGACTCATGAGAGGTGGAAAGTTTTTAGCTGAAGAATCGCCTACAGTATTATTGCAAAAATATAACTGTCAATCGCTAGAGGATGTTTTTCTAAAACTTAGCGTTATTCAAAATCGAGGAAAACGAAGACGTAGTAGTATTTTGCATGACATTACAGCTGCAATAACTGTTCCTGTCAGTATACATTTTGAGTAAACAGTTTAATGAACACGAAGCATTAATAAATCAATATTATTTATCTTTAGGAATCTTCTCCTGCTCCAGCAGTTGAATCCCTTAACTCTATTTGTGATAATACATCTGAGATGAGCGGTGAATTTGGTGACAGTATCAGCCCGGTTCCTTTGAGTAAACGAATGTCTATCTGTTCAGGGCATGTTAATAACACTGAGTTAGAACTACCTCCCGAGGCCAACATTCAAATGTCATTTTTTGAACGGTGTAAAATTTTTAAAGCTCATCATATGCGAGCGCTTATATGGAAGAATTTTTTGTGGATGTGGAGAAATGTTGCGTAAGTTAGTTATATATTTTAATAGATAGATACTACATTTATATCTATGTATACGTACAATATATAAATGTTTCACGTGAAACTTTTTTATGATCTTCTTTTTTTTTCCTCGCCTTAATCCCAACTACTTGGGGTTGGCCACCATTATCCTAAACTTCCACCTGACACGATGTCCCACTTAAAATTTTTTTATGATAATGTTAATCACTGTCGGATATCATTTATATTTGTCCCAATTATTCCGCGTCTCTACTCTACTCGTTTTTATTTTTGATTCTTGATGTTATGTGAATTTTTATGGTAATAACTGTATCTATAGATAACGTGCATTTAAGAAACAAATTTATTATAAATTTATTTTAGAATAAAAGACAAACACGTTATAAAAATTTAACTATAAGTTCCTTACCGTATGTATAATTTTATATTGAATACTATTATTGATCATTTACATTTTTTGATTACATAACTTATTTTTGAGGTATAAACGTTTTTGTAAAATATAAGTTTCCGTATATTCTCATCTCACTAGTTATGCGCTTAGTTAAAGTAAATGCATGGTATCTTTAGTGTGTCAAATACGTTTTTATTACATTGTTTAAAAAGGTATGGATCAAAGGTAGGTGATCCATCTATATCCCCTCCATATAACCGCCATTGATTTTAAATATTCTTATATTTTTAATAATTTATAATAATCACAAAAAAAATATAACTTTTAACAAAGACTGATTTCACTGATTAAAATTTCATTTTTTTCTCTTAGTTTTAGTTAATTAATGAACAATTGTTTTTAATGTAGGGTTATGATGTTTATTGTTGGTTTACCTGTTGCCCAGATTGTATTATTTTGCTTATCAATTGGTAAAGATCCTTACGGTTTGCATTTGGCTGTAGTCAATTATGAAACGCCTAATAAAACATGTGGGCCTACAGGCGGTTGTCATTTAGAAGAATTAAGTTGTCAGTTTTTACATCATGTAGAAAAGCGACGACAAGTATTAGTAAGTTTCTTTTAGAGGAATAATATTTATGAAAATATTATTATATTAACTTCTACTTTACAATAATTATTTTAGTTATAATATTTTATAAATAGATTAGATTTTTATAGGTTGTTATTTTTAGATTCATTGTTTCATTTATTTATTTCCTTCTACAAATAAATCTTTAATAAAGACATAAACATTAGGTTAAAATATTTTGTTTTATTAATTTCCAGTAATAATAACCAATTTTGTAGTTTTTAATTAAAATTAATCTCCATTTTATTAAATTACATCAAATTAAAACTTATAGGATTAAAAAAAGAAAAACTTTATATTTTATATGATTAATAGAAGAAAATATCGTTGTTGTCAAAATTTGTTAAATTTTTTCTGTTTGTTACTACTTTTTTAAAATACACAAATGGCAATGGAATTTTAACAATAATACTTAAGATCTTTCCATCTTACCATCTTTTTTTATAATATACTTATTTAGAAATTGAGTAAAATTGCACAAGAAGTTTTAGAACGCAACAATATATGTAATATATGCACATAACTTTATTTTGTATTTAAAGTTTAATAATGTTTCGGAATATCTGCGTTCTTTAAACTTAAATTAAATTAAATCTAAAGATTAAAAAAGGAAAATACCACCACGACTTTTATTTTTTGAGTAATTTGTAATCTAAATCAAAAATAAAAAAATTTTCAACTTATATTTTTAAATATTTCAAGTAAATTTGCATCGAAGCATTTTCTAATAGTCATGTTAATTAATGACAGATTTCAATCTAAACTAAGTCCACTACATCAAAAATTCAATATTCTGTGTCTCGACTGTACTGGGATTTATTTCATTTTTCTTCAGAAATTGTCAAAATTTGTTTTAGTGATTATAAAAATTAGTGTAAAATTTGCATGTTGTAGTTAACACATATGTCACAGTTTATTTTATTGAGAAGTAAAAGTAATATAGTATTTTTTATATATAAAGAATAATTAAGTTGAACCTGAAAAATTATAATAATTATAAATGTTGGATATAAGTAATCAATTGATTACTTGTAGCTAATTAATTAAAAATAAATAAATAAAAATTAATTTAAGACAACAAAAAGTACTTGAAAAAAAATCAAATATTGTTTTAGTATTTATTTCTTTATTAAAAGCTAATATTTAAAGTAGAACATATTTTTTAGTTTTTATTTTTATGTCTGTCCAGGAAAATTCTCAGCTCTCGTTGAATCGATTTTATTGATGAAAAGAACCCGGTTTTATTTACTTGAATCTATAAACGTCAAAAATTTGATAATCCCTTCAATTTTAAATATTTTTCAAAATTATGCTACCTTTAAAAATTTTTTTTAATATAAATCTGATATATACATTTCTTTTTAATGATTTAAATAAAATATTAATGGAATATGCTATAGGCGATAATCTTTCTTTCGGTGTGCTTTCTATGAAAAAAAAAAAATGAAAAATCTATACATAAGAAGGGCTTAAAAAATATCACCTATGCATTTATTTTTTTTTCAACTCAATTTTTGAAAATTTTCTAAAAAGTTTAACAACTTTTAGCCTATATCAATTTACAACTTTTGAATAGTACTACACTATTATTCAAAAATTTGTTCGACAATTACTTTACTATGAAAAATCGCCCGTTAAAACAAAAAAATTTTACAATTTTTATAAAAGAATTACCTTTATTCAATGAATACAATAAAATAATAACGTTTAATATTTGAGAGACTTAAAAGTCATTTAAATTGTCAAGTTGTACAAATGTACAAATGTACAAATTATAAAATTTATCAGACTCGCATTTTGTAACAGTGATTTAAAAAACTGTAAATTATCGTCTATATTGGTCTTAAATTCGTCTTTAATATGCTTTCAGTGCAAAGCCGAAAGGTGTTAATTTTACAATTATATGTATTTTTTTTTTTATAAGTCACTAGTGAGTCACTCACTACTTTTACTTATTATACTAAATTATTAAATATCAATTACTATAATAAGTATTATAGTTATATTCCTGATTTTAAAGTATATATACTTATAAATCATAAATTTTGTAATTAGAACATAATTAAGGAAATATGAGTTGTACTTTTGGAATAATCAGATTCGATGCGAAGCAGAGAAGGTTTTAATTTTACCATGATGAGTTTTTTGTTGTGTCTGTTGCCACTTTTTCTCACATCTCATTGGACCGAATTTGATGAACAATATGTCAAAATATTACAAATCGTATCTAGTTGAAGACATTACCTTTAAAAATGGAAAAAATTCCCCACGTTCATCGTAAAGGGGGGAGAAATTTTCAAAAAATCATAATTTTTAAAATCGTTTTATTTCGTCATTTTTTCTTAAATCTACCATAACTTTTTCAAAAGCTAACAAATCAACTTAATTTTTTTATATTGAAACCTTAGATATTTCTATTTTATTTGATATAATTTTTTTAAAAATCTAACACTTAACCTGTTTACAGGGGAGAATTTAAACTTTTTTTACGAAACTCAACTTTTTCCATTTAATTTTGAAATTGTTCCATAAACACTGCATCCTTTAAATATATATCAAATTAAAGTTTATGTCATGTACTATAAAATAAAAAAAAAAAAAAAATTGTCCCGACAATTTATCTTCTTTGTGCAAAGAGCTGCAGTAGTTAAAAATCACTGTTTAACATATAATAAATTGCCAATTTTATTAGTTGGCGAAAGCGACGAACAGTTGCCGAATCAGTAACATTTGTGTCTTTCACGGTTAGAGTATCAGGTTCAAATCCGCCTGTGGCAATTATTATTTTGCATTTTTTTTAAGTTAGAAAAATTTTTGAATCATTTGATTTTTATCTCATTTAGATTCATTAATTTCAATAAATATCAAGGATTCCATGACTGTAGTCTCCCCTCATGAGAAGAAATTTCTTATTCATGTTAATATTATTTTACTATGTGTTTTTTTTTTTGTGGCTGCGATTTCTTTTTCCAACTCTCAAATAACATACTTTTTTCAACGATATGTCAAATGATTACAATTCGTATTTAGTTGAAGATATTATCCTCAAAAATTGAAAAAAATCTCTTAATCAAATAAAAAGTACCTTAAACAGCTTTATTCAAACAAACAATTAAAATTATTCATTTTTAATATTTTTAAAGTATTTATTGTTAAATTAGATGTGATATGATAAAAGTATTCAACTACAAAAGTAAATAATTTTACATTACGTGTATTTATCTTTTGTCGTCTTTATTACAATTACAATTGAAATAATCATAAAATTAGTTTGATTCATTAAATTTTCAACAGAACTACTTATAAACAATAAATTTTAATAAAAATGGAGAGGGAGTTTAAATGTAAAAATGAAATTTTATCTCTCATAAATACTATATAATTTGGAAACCGATGACAATAAAAAGTAATAAGGGGTCTTTAATACGGTAACTTTTTGTAGGATCATAAGCCTCCTTTCATTATGTATTATGTATTTACATATATACATTTAGAAAAAAATAATTTTTTTTATTGTTTTTAGGACTTTTTTAAAGATGAAGAATCAGCATTTCATGCAGTTAAATTAGGCAAAGCATGGGGTGCATTAATGTTTACGTCTAACTATACTTCATCGCTTAAAACACGAATAGAACAAGGTCAATCAGCTCAAGATTGGATACTCGATGATAGTTGTGTTTCTGTGTGGCTTGATGAATCAAGTAATAATTTATTAAGATTATAAATTTCGATCATAGGCGCAATTACAAACATTTTTGTGTGAGCTCAATTTATTTTCCTGCCGCTCTAAAAATATATTTTTATGTAATATACATAATTATCTAAATTTTTGATAGACTACTTTTTTAATTAGAGGGACTAACATCTTGTTGCACTTATGCTTGTTTTCTAGCCTTGTTAATGAGTTATGGTAAACTATAAAGTTATGATTATTTTTGGTTTTTTTATTGAATTATATATTTTAAGTTATAAATTGATAATATCATAATAACAAATTTTTAATATTCAATATTTTGATGATTTATTCTGTAGAGACTGCTTTACGTATTGGTACAAGAAACAAACATAACCAAATATTTATCGTAGTCTCCATAGCCTGTAGTTATGCCAAAACAAAACTTCTTTTTTTTCCCTACGTTTTGATGTTAAAGGAACTTGTTTTTTGTGTCTCCTGAAGGGTTGTTAAAAGTTGACATATTTGGTTATTGATTATATAGGTTGGATACCTATTCGAAATAAATATTTTTTAAATTAATTTATTTAAATATGTTTTTAGATCAACAAATATCAGTTTTACTAAGACGTGATATCTTATTAGCATTTCAAGATTTTGCTGCTACTTTAGCAACAGCTTGTAATTATAGTACTAAAGCAGTGGATGTTCCGATTAGAGTAAGTATTTGAAATTCCTAAAATTATCAATTAAGTTTAATTTAATGTACCAGTTGTAAGCGCCCTAAATAGCTCAGTTGGGAACGCATCGTGCCTTGGTGCGTAGGTACGGGGACGATTCTGTTGTGCTGGGCTATATAGGTTTTCCCGTCTTCTTTAATACAAGCAGAGCTTACAAGAGAAGACGTAAAATATAATTAATGACAATAATAAATTAAGTATTATTTAATTGTGTCTTTGCACTAGAAAAATATTTTTCAATCGGTTTATATTTATATACATATATTAATAATTAACTATATTAATTATATAGTATATATAATAGGTATAATTTTTATAACTACATTTATTTACTTGTTTTATATTTATAATTATGAAATTGTACTAGTTTCATCATCCAATATATGGACCAGTTGTTCCGAATTTCACAGATTTTGCAGCGCCTGGTGTCATATTGACTATAATATTTTTCCTCGCTGTTGCTCTCACCTCTGGCGCCATGTTACTTGAGAGAAACGAGGGTATTCTTGAGAGAAGCTTAGTTTCTGGTAACTTAATTAATTACTATGTATAAATGGTTGGAAATTTCTTAAAATAATTTTTGAATTTGCTAGGCATTACTGGAATCGAAGTACTTTTAGGGCACGTTGTATGTCAACTAATGATTATGGTATTTCAATCACTTATGGTCATTGCATTTGCGCTGATTGTGTTTGACATTACTAATGAAGGAGACGTATTATGGATATCCACGTTAACTATATTAACTGGTTTATGTGGCATGTGTTTTGGTAAAATTTTTTGACAAGTTTTTATTTAATTTTTTTTTATAGTAAAATAATAAATTTATTTGTAGGTTTTGTAGTCTCTTGTGTAACCGATAACGAAAGAAACGCTACATATCTGGCTATGGGCAGTTTTCTGCCAATTGTAATGCTTTGTGGTAAGATTTTTTTTTTTATCTGATATACCATTTTGATTAATGCGAGAATAGTTTGGAATTATTTATTTAATCTATCTATGAAAAAATAATTGTTATATTAGCTTTGTTGCAAAACTGAGTAAGTATGATAAAAATTTAAAAATGATTCAATCGTCAAAAAAAATATTTGACTCCCATATTTTTAGTTTCGGGATAGCTTTAATTATAGATATGAATTGAATCATTTTACAAATAGTGATTTTAATCATTTTTTAATTCGGAAATTGTGGGTATTATTTAAAGTTATTAAGTAATTAATTTACAACTATTTAATATAATATGTTTAACCTTAACTTATAAAAAAGTTAACGTTGGTATCATTATAATTCAAAGTTCATTTTTGATTCCCTTTTAAGGAATTATATGGCCTGTGGAAGGAATGCATGCAGTGATGAAAACTATTAGTTTTTTCTTGCCATTAACTCAGTCTACGGAATCAATGCGATCAATGCTAGCGAGAGGTTGGCCAATTACTGAACCTACTGTTTATATTGGTTTTTGTTCTACATTGATATGGATAACAATATTTCTGACATCTAGTGTATTGTTAATTAAATTTAAAAAAGGATAATTTAAAATAATAATATTACTACAACCTACTGTTGGAACGGTAATATATTGAGCGCTTTATACTCGTATATTATGCAGTAAAATATAATAGCTTTATAGTTCCTGAAACATTTTAAAATCATCATAATTTTTAATAATAAATAATTTTATTGTAGGGCGCTATTTTTAATAATAATTATCTATAATTAATGGAGTAAATTACAAAATTTATAACGTATCTAACAAATAGTAATAATTAGAATTTTAAATATAGAAAAATAAACTTTTAGTTAATTAAGCCATTTATTTTATTATATTATTATTTTTTAAATATATTGACAATAATAAGTCTTCATAGGGAGTTAACATATAAAACAGCTATTTCAATGATCATCCTAAAGAAGAAAATGATGATTAATATTTGTTAAATAATTTTTACTTATGTTTTGCTTATAATATAGTATAAATAAATTATAAGTGGCAATTCTGAATATTTATATTTTAATTATTTCAAAATAAATTGTAATTTATTGATTAGTTTTTCGAAATGTATTATTAAAGTTAGATAAGTAAAGTTTACGTGTTTATATTTTGTAAAAAATTAGTTAAGGATCTATTTACTATTTTAAAAAGAAATGTTATGTAAATTAAATATAATAATAATTAATCTTACAATAATACTAATCTATTATGTTAACACTAAAATATCTGTAAACTAGAAGACTTTGATTTTGATTATGATTAATGATAATTTCATGTTAATTATTTATATATATTTTTAATTATATTTATGATGGTTTATAAATTTATGACACCTAAGGATTAAATGAATATTATACTTATAAGATAGATGATCTGCTTCCATTAAAGTTGCACCACTACATGTTAAGTTGGAAATTCAAGTTTATTTTTTATTATACTTAATAGTCGAAAAGTCAAAAATAAATAAAAAATATTCGGGTTGGGCTAATATATAAAGCTTTTTGATTTTTCAACCTCCTTGGCAGCTTTGAAATATGTACAAAATAGAAATTAAAAAAAAAACAATTTTTAACATTTTTGTTAAATAAATGATGTTAGCGTAATAAGTATAGTATGAGTATAAAAAAAAACGGTAGCACATTGGGGACGTGGCATAGTTGGGACAAGTATAAATGATATCTGACAGCGATTAAAATTACTATTATAAAAATCATCTGATGCAAAATTGTTGATAGTGTTTAATTTTTAAAAGAAATTACTAAATTATTTCAGAGTTACATCAACTCTTATTCCATTAATTATATCTTAATTACAAGTCTTATGATCTACGAGTATAATACATGAAAAAATACTTATTGTAATAATTAAATTAAGTATGAAATTGATTTTAAATTATTTTATATCTTAATTTTTACAGAGAAATTATAGAAAGTTCTAAAGTAGTTGTATATTTCGTCATCTATATGATAAACATATACCAAAACTATATTCACGTAATTTTGGATTTATTAAAAAACAAAAAAATTAACTTCCTTAATTTTAACTTTTATATCTAACTTTCGAGTATTAATTATTATTTCAGTTATGAAATTGAAATTGTGATTTATCATAGGGCCATAGGTAGCTAGAATATTTTTTCTGGAAAGGACAGTCTTCCCCTCCTTTTAGTGTATATGACATTAAAAGTTGTAAAAATTCTCTTTTAAAATATTTATAACTAACACTTAAATATTTTTATTATTATATATTTTTTTTATAAAAGAGTGGATTAATTGGGGGTGCGTACCACTCCTATTATAACTGTTTGACCATTAATATAAGCATAAAAAATTGATATAGAAAATAATAATAATCCAAAAACGATGATTGTTTGTTTTATACAATAATGAAATTTATTTTAGCTTCGATGCGAAGCTGAGAAGGTATTAATTTTACTATGAAGTGTTTTTTTAGCTTCGATGCGAAGCGGAGATGCAAATGGCTGTGAAAATTTAAAAAAAATGTAATGTTTGCGATAAAAATCACCTTTTATCGGGATGTTTTTTGTACTTAAAACTGCCATAACTTTTTCAAAAATGAACAAATAAAAATAATATTTTTTTGTATTGAAACCTTAGATATTTCCCTTTCATTTGATATAATTTTTTTTGAAAATCTTACACTTATTCTGCTCACTGGGGTGATTTAAAATAGTAACTTTTTTACAAAAAATAACTTTTTCAATTTAATTTTTGAAAATGTTCCGGAAATACTGCGTCCTTTAAACATATATCAAATTAAAGCTTATTTTATGTACTATAAAAAAAAAAAAAAAATTTGTCCCGATGTCCCGTATTTAAAAATATGCTATTTTAAAAAATTTTTTTTTTTTTAAATTAAACACTACAGATTTTAATCACTGTCAGATATTATCTATACTGGACCCAACTGTGCCGCCACCCCACTGTGTTGGGTTTTTTAATTTGATGATCGTTTACATATAAACAAGTCATCGGGATCATTTTTTTTAAACTTATGATATGTAACACAAGCTATAATTTAAAATATGTTTAAAGAAATTCGTGCTTTGGAGACATTTTTAAAATTAACTTATGTGTAAAAGATTTTATTTTGAATTCTCTTGTGGAAAAGTGGTTGGCTTATGTATGTTTGGCAAAGCATATAGTTTAGTTATTTAAGGGATTGAAATATTAATAAAATTCTGAACCTTATTTCAATTACTATTTTTGAACTATTGATGACGTTCGTAGCTTCCTTATCATTTTATTTATGAATTATTTTTAATTTCAATCTAGGGCTCTCTTGAATCATTTCTGATACACTATTAAAATAATCTTCAGTATTGCTATGGAATTTCTCCCTTATCTGGTTTTAAATAAAAGCAGTTTTTATAATTAAAGTCCAATATGAGTCGTAAATGTTTTTCATTTTTTCCTAAACTTCTTTTACTTACAACAGAATTTTTTTTTTAAATATATATAATATTTGTTCGTATATCAGTTTCATCGGCGTAGAACAACGCTACTATAATTTTTAACTAAATCGTCCATTTTTTAGAAAATGAAACTATCGGACTTTTATTAAAATTATTTATTTGACCCTTATTTTTGTGTTCTGAAAATAAATATTAAAATTTTATTTTTAATTTTTCTTTTTTTGTTACATATTTATATCCAATGAATACATCAAATGAACTCAATTTTAATCATGTTGCACTCATAATTATCAAATATTGGAAAAAATCTTTTAATTTTAACAATTTAGAAAAATATCTCAATATTATGCCACTGTAATTTTTTTTTTAAATTATATATACTCAAATTAACAGGAGTATATAATTTTTAAAAATAATCCGTGTAAATTTCATTTCAAAATGTCATTTATAACTTATTTTTTTGATCCTTTAAATTGATTTTTTTTTTAAAGTTTATGATATAAAAATGTTTAACACTATTTAAATACTTCCATAATAATATCTAAAATTTCTATTAAAAAAAAAAATATTAAGGTACATAATTTTTCAAAAAATTATAGGTGTTTTAAGATAAAAAGGGTAGCACAATGGGGTTGCGGCACAGTGTGGACGTGACATAATTAGGTCAAGTATAGATAATATCTGACAGTGATTAAAATCATTATCTTAAGAAACGCTTCGATGCAGATCTGTAGATGATGTTTAATTTTAAGAAATTGGTGGGTAATTACAAAAGCAACATTAACTACTATTTCCTTAATTATATCCTAATTAGTGGTTCTTTGATTTAAAAATATAATATACGAATAAATATATATTATACCAAATAAATATAGTACGAAATTGATATCTAATAATTTAGTATTGTAATTTTTACGTAGACATTATACAAAATTATAAAGTAGTTGTTACTCTTATGGAAAACATGTTGCCGAATCGGTAACACTTGTGTCTTTCACGCATAGGGTACGAGGTTCAAATCCGTCTGTGGCAATTAATATTTTGCATTTTTTTTTTTTAGTTAGAATAAAATATTCAAATCATTTGATATTTATCTCATTTAGATTCAATAACTTCAATAAATATAAAGGATCTTAACACTATCGTCTCCCCTCGTGAGAAGAAATTTATATTCATGTTAATATTATTTTACTATGTAGTTTTTTTTGTGGCTACAATTTATTTTGCCAACCCTCACTAGACCTACTTTTTTCAACGATACGTCAAATGATTACAATTCGTATTTAGTTTAAGTTATTACTCTTAAAAATCGAAAAAATATTCCTTATTCAAATAAAAAGTAGCTTAACCAGCTTTTTCCATACAAACAATTAAAATCATTAATTTCTAATATTCTTAAAGTTTTTATTGTCGAATTAGATTTGATATGATAAAAGTTTTCAACTACAAAAGTAAATAATTTTACTTTGTAATTTATTAATTTTTTATCTCTATTTGTGTGTGCTACTACCAGTCTATAACATTCCAAATTTTTTTTAGTTTCACCTGAATTTAACGATTTGGATTTTCAAATATTATAATACGCTCAATTGAGTAAATTTTTTTTTATTGGTTTTTTTTAGTTATATAATCATTAAAATTAATTAAATTCTGAATATTTCCATTGTAGAATTTTTTTAAACACCAAAAGTTAA